CACCTCCCAGTCAAGCCCACAGATGAATCCCAAAGCCAGGGCTATCTTGATGGTAGCTTGTGCTCTAACGAACACTGATAAGACCATTAGACTCCAGACCTACAAAGGCTATGAGAAATGAATGATATTTTGAACAGTGAAGTTTGGGGGATAGTTTTCTCAATAGTAACAAATAACAAAGCAGTAACAATGTAAGTTTTACAGTAGTCCAAGCAAGAAGTGGAATAGTGCCAGAATCTCTCAAAGTCTCTCATGTCCGAATTTAGTTACTAGCCCTCTGCCGAGGTCAATCCCTAGCCTGGCTTCTAAGCCTGATTGATTGGTTTTTGCCTGTTTTTGACCTCTGAGTGAACAGATTTTTGTTATAGTATTCTCAGTTTCAGCATCTGACTCCTTGTTTTGCAGTTTAGGTGGGAGTTCTTTTTATAATATTTTATATGGATATGTTTATTCTATGATATATTTATTACTGCAATGTGTACAACTTAATTGTACAAATATGCCACAGGTTACTTATCCACTCCATTATAGCACACATTTAGAATGTATATACTTAGGAGAGGAGTCACTGGTTCATTGTGCTTTGAGAATTAGTATATGATGGCAAAAATGGTTTCCGAAGGGGTCGGTCCAATTTATATCAGCAGAGCCTGGGGCCCATCTTTTATCTCACTGTCTCAGCAGGATTCTTGGCTGCATCTCGGTGTAGCATGGGACTGAGTATGTCACAGAATCTTAATAGTGTGCATTACAGCTAACAATGTTGTTAACGTAAAAAGAATAAAGGAGTCTTCTGGACACCTAATTATATTAAGAGTTAATTTTCAAAATTCAAGGTATAGTCAGTGCTCTGCTATGAGCTCTCACTTTATGTGTAACCAGCATTGACAGAATAAAACATTAAGATCTTAGAATACATAGCTACCAGGTTGCCTTTAAATTAGCCTCTAGGAGAGAGTCAGGATTAAAGAAAAATGGTTGAAGTGTAATACCTTTATATTATTCTTTGAGTATCTAACCTGCGCTTTTTTTTAAGCTCACATTTCCCAGTGCACAGCCTACATTTCCTGGCTAACACTGGCAACAGAGCCATCACGGAAGCTGTTGTTTTTCATTGTAGGGGAAAGTTTTTATTGTATTATACCCATTAGTCAACTTTGTGTCATATGAATATTTGGTCGATCTATATGAGCTTTTAGCATTGTGCACTCTATAAAGCTAATTGGGGTAGTCCTGAAAAAACCCAGCATTCTTTGTAATGACCAACGTAAATGGCAGATTCCTTTACTGGAGTCATAGTTTTTGAATTCATTGCTACAGTCAAGACAAATGTATAATATGCTTGAGCTAAGCCTTGCATCTGTAATAGAATTAACAGACAGGAAAAATATTTATCAGTACCAGTCGGTTGCCCTGGGTAGTTCAGCCTCTATGGTTTCCCCCTTTTTTCGGCATCTTTGACTTCTGAAAATCTATAAGATATAGATGCTCATATTTGAAACATGGCTATTACTAGACATAGGGGACTAGAACCAGAAACAGTAAAGGATAGGTTGAACCATGACACTGTGCAACAGCGTGATGTCCAGGGAGTTTCCATAGGAGTTCAGTGTTGATGGTGTGCTGGCGACCAGGGGCCTTGAACCTGACCAACAGCACATCATACAATGAACGTTTGCAAGTGAAGCTGTTTGGACAAAATGGTCCACTGCGTGACACACTGCAGCTCCCAGGGCGGCTAAGAAGAATGAAGAGGTGGTGGAGAGACAAAGATGGAGGAGCAAAATGTTTGGTTTTTGTTTTTCTCCTCTCTTTTGTTTTGTTTTGTCTGTTTTTAATCAAAATTGATATTCTTATTTGTATTTTTATTTATTTGTTATTTCTTTTTATCTTTGTCTTATTTTTATTATTTTTTGTTAGTTTTTGTTTGTAGGGGACACTACAAGGGTGAGGGGCAGATGCAGAGGGGCTGGGAGATGGATGGGATTAGGGTGCATGATGTGAATTCCCAAAGAATCAATAAATTTTTTCAAAATCTGATTTGATAAAGTGAATTCTTGCAGATTCAATATAAAGCATATTTTATTATAGAAAGGTGGACACATGTGAAGGGAATGTTCATGTGAAAGAGTTGGGAAGTGGTGGGAGGAGGAGAGGTGTGCCTCAGCACGTCTGAGTGGGAGAACTTTCTGGAAAACACAGGGACCATGGCTCTGTGTGATAGCAAGATCCTGGGCTACCAGCAAGTAGTCTTTGTCCGTCATGTTCACCTGGTTGCCCCAGTTTACCTGCTAAGATCTTGTGTGTCACGCTTTCGCTAGTTTGTAAAACTCCCCTCTCCTACATTGCCCCTCCCATTTTATCTGCTAGGTCTCTAGTGTGCCCTTTCCCTGTCCCTGAACTCCACTGTGGCATGACCTTCAGTACCCCATCGTTTTAGTTGATGTGAACCAGGTCTGCCACTACACACATCCCTGGCCTTAGTTCTACTCCAAAACGCATCGAAGAAGGAACAGCATGTCATTCTGGGCAGTGCTCAACTCTGACGAAATACCCACATTTCTTGCCTTGATGCATGTTCATCATCTTATCACACAGTCAATTGTGCATGCTTCCTCCTCCCTCCCTCAAACAAGTTTTTTTTTCTTTTTCTGCAAATAAACACCTTTTAGGCCTCTCCTTTGTTCCTATAGAAACAAGGGAAGACATCTCTGGGCATCCTTCTGTCCTTCCTTCCCTCTTTATTCTCCTGAGTTTTTGTGGCATGCCTGTGCTTCTGCAGTTGCCCTGTTCTGCATCTCTGTATTGATTATCCCTTGCCTGATAAACACTTTGCAAGCAGGGAGCATGCACTTGTCGTTGCATGCATGGGTGCGTGACTGGAGAACTGGATGGGTAAATGCCTGGATGGCTGGGTGGTGGCTAGATGGCAGGAAGCACAGTGTAACATGAGGGGGCCTGTTTGTTTCTGTTTTCTGTTCTGTCCAGTTCCCATGGCTGTTTAGCCCCAATGAAAATAACACAGAGGACTCCGTAAGTTATAATGCTAATTGGCCCATTAGGTCAGGCTACTTATTAGCTAACTCTCATATCTTGATTAACCCATTATTCTGATCTATTTTAGCCATGTGGCTCAGTACCTTTTCAATGGGGCAGCTTACATCCTGTTGCTTTGATGGTCTGGGCAGAAGAGGGAGTAATCAACTTCCTCCTCCCCAGAATTTTCCTGCTCTCCTTGCATCATTTCCATTTCCTGTTTGGTTTTCCCACCTACATCTCCTGCCTGGCCAATCAGCGTTTATTTAAAACATGATTGACAGAATACAGACAATTCTCCCGCACCAGAAGGGTGACTGGCTTGATGGTTGGGTTGACTGACTCTGATATCTGCCCAGAATGACACGTTGTTCCTTCTGACCATGTTGTAATATCATGGGATACACATTCATAACTTATGATCTTCAACTTGGGAAATGGTGTTTTGGTTTTTGCGGTTTTTGTTTAGGTGTCAGTGAGTCTAACACAAACTCCATTGTTCCTCTTATCCTCATATTCCTATTATATGTGCATGCAGTCTTTGTGCTATGCTGCAGGTCTCCAGGGTCTTAAGGTTAGTCTTCAGTTTGTGTTCTTAAAACTCTGAGCTTGACAAGACTGAAGAATGTGCTACGGCTGTTTGTTCTGAAACCAGAGCTTGTTTTCACTGCTCAGTATCATCCAAGATCAACTTGCCATGACTCACAGCTTCCTGAATCCTTCACTAATAGGCTGGAAATAGTCATATTTGCCTTCTTTGCAAGATTGACGAGGCATAAGCATATGGAAAAACCCATAAAATCTGTCCTTATCTGTCTAATCGGTCTAGCTACCAATCTTCTATCTGTTTTCCATATTATTAACGTTGACATGTCCTTGAGAAGAATCTTGGGCACACGTAACTGTTGTTACCCTTGTTCTGCTCTGAACTCACAGAAGGATTTGCGTAGAATCATCACAGCTGAACACAAGCAGGAGTTAGAACTGACACTCTCTGGTGTCTGCCGAGACACAGTGCTTATTACCTTTGTTAAAATCCAGCTGTGAGAGACAGCACTTCTGTTATCCCGCTTAGAAGTAGTACAACAAATACCTGAGATAAGTTCCCCTTGACTCACACACAGTTCAGAGGTGCCAGCCACGGTTGATTGGCCCCATTGATTTTGAGTCTGTGTTGAGTGAATAATGGCTGGGGCAGACGGCAACAGCAAAACAACTCGCCTTGCGACCAGGAAGTCAAAGATTGAAGAAGAAGAAGAGGCATTTCCTCTGATGACAGGAAGACACACCATTGGACCTCATCTCTGAAAGACTCTGTCATCTCCTGGTAGGTCATGCAGAGGACTGAGTTTTGACTACATTGACCTTTGAGAGACAACATCCACACTACAGTAGCATTTTATTGGGCATTATGGAATCCGAGCTGTCAGTGAGCATGGACTGGCTCTAAGATAGATATGATGAATAGGTTTCACCTTGAGTGCCAGCTCTGAATCAGATGCTGCTGGAGCCGGAGAAGGATCCTAAGGCCCTGTCTGCAACTGTTTGGAGAGGTTTGCCGTGACCGTCGGCGCTCCTGTCTTATCTGTTTTCCATTCCTGTTCTAACACAGTGATAGGTGCTTATCTTGACAGGCGTCCATGCTGCCTGTCTGCCCACTCACCATGATGTCTAGAGAGATTGTTGATAAGCAGATATCTATGGAGGAATTTCAATTTCTAGAAGCTGAGTTTTAAGCTAAGCATGCAAACTTCCTTCTTCAATGAAAATGGTTAACAAAATGCAAAGAGAAGGCGAGGAATGCTAATGGCAACATCAATAACTATTAGACATTTTCCCTAAAGGGCAAATGCATGTCCCCCTATTTAGAGTGGGGTGTACACTGCAGGGGAGAAGAGGTTTCCAGGCAGTTGAGCTTAACCATATGTAGTGCTGAAAATTAACACCATTTACTTCTGTGCACATGTAATCCGATTAACTTTATTATAGGCATCTGTTACACTCTTGTTAATAACAACATACCAAGTTAAGCTGGTTTAAAGCATAGCAAAATGCAATTCATTTGGAATTAGATGCTAATACTGGAGATGACTTCATGGAGTTATGCTTATATATGACCCTCAGGAGTTAGTACTCAGGAACATCTCAAAGGCTTCGAAGTAAATCAGAGCATAGCTACAGACTAGAGTATTCTGTTATACTTCCTTCCCTAAATTATTTCCTACCGTGTATTCTTCTTTTTTCTTTTTGGCTAAGAATCACTGTCAGGCGACCAAAATCACACCCAAGGCATTTCAATGGCAAATTCTAACTTTAAGTCTGCCTTACAAATAGACACCGGTCATCTAGTCTCATGGAACCTTGACACATAAGGTAAGGGACTGTGGTGTCCTCTGCCCTTGGGTCAGCAGTAAAATTGATAATTGGCAAGGCTGAGTCTATGCTACCTCTGCGCACCCAAGGATTCAGGAAAAGGCTTGGTATAGTAAATATGAAGGTATGCGTGAATGAGAATCTGTTTGATCTTCCATGTAGTCTAACCACCAAATCTTCTAGTGTCTCAAGCTTTTTTTTTTTTTATCTTAAAACAACCCCCCCACAGAAAACCCTAGGCCTATGTCATTGTCATTGAGATCATCTATGCAGATGATCTCAGAGAGACGGGTGAAATATAATCACTAAGTAAGGACACTAATTCTTCATTTCTCGAATCTCAAATTCGTGTCCTTACTTTCTAGCTCTCTACCCCAGAAAGGGTTAAAGTAAGGGTTATTCATTCTTGCTGATCTGGCCACAGTGTGACACCCATAAAATGTATCATAAACTACATTATTTAATAGATCTGAGTACCGCACCTGCTTCCTTATCTCCTCGTAGGTGATTAAGTTCTCCACAAATGCAATTTGTTAATGTGGGGCCACATCTCCTCACAAGGTAATCTGTGAAATTTGGCAGGCAGTTCCTTGGCTGCAGGTGCAAGATGGAAGACCTTTCTCTGGCTTTGCCAAGAAGAAAAATGATGCCGTGCTTAATTCATGGAAAAAATATTTTAACACAGAGGGTACAACCTGATTCTAAAAAAAGGGGGAATCCAATCAGGTACTCCTTTGGGGGAGTATGTTACCCCCCAAAAGACTGCGTGGGGACTCTGAAGTCTTAATTGAGGCCAGGTATTGGGCACCCCCCCCCAGCCCACTCAAGGGAAGCCCTCTGATATGTGGGGCTGTAGTCATTTGCAGTGATAAATGATGACTTTTACTCTTATGAGCTATGAAGGCTTAATGATAGCTTAATTAAAGCTAATGCTCGGATCCTTTGGAGGGTGGAGCAATTCAAAACGAACTCCCTCATCCAATGACCTGGGTTTGGAAAAGCATGCCTATGAAATACATAGCATCCCCAAGCTGGGATCTGTCTCAGTCTGCACATCCCAGGTAAAGCAAGAGCTAGTTGCTTTTTTTTTTTTTTTTTTTTTTTTTTGCATTAGGATTTCCATAACCAAGGCTGCAATAGGCCAGGAGCCCAGGCCCATCTGGACCTCCTGGGCCTTTACATAGGGCGTTTTTGAATCTGCAGATCCAGCTCTCCATACACATGTCTCAGGGAATCACTGGTCATGCTGGCAATCAGCTTCCGAGGGCCCGAGACCCAAGGCCGGCAGACTTCTTCCCACTGCACAGTCGCATTGGGTCGGAGTTCACTGAAAATAGGAGAAGCACAGGAAAGGTTGGTGATTCAGCTCCAGAACCCAGGTCTGAGAGAGACTTGTCATTTTTCTCTCTCAGCTCATGATAGCCACGGGACCACCCACTAGGACCTTCAATCTAGTTGGCTGATTCAGCAAGTCATGGGCCAACTGAGGCCCCTTCTTGAGGCTGTGCAAAGGTGTCTACCAAGAGTCCTACCAAGCATAGCTTCTTCTACCTGGATGCACTTGCTGGTCTCCCGGAGGATGTGAGTGCTTGAAAAGCACTCCTAACTATGAACTCCTGTTTGACTCCAAAGATTCCCCCATGGCCTTGTCCATGGGAAGGATCTGCCTTATCTCAACTTTGCTCTGCTGGTCCCCTCCTGGGATTAAAGTCCTGCTTGAACCTCAGCAGCCCTTGCTGTGTATCTGACACTTTCATTAGCTCTTATTAACCCTCATTGGATAAACCTTGCTCCCTGGCACAATAGCTGAACATCACCTGAAATTGAATATCATCATTCTCTGTAATCTATATTTATAATTTAATCACCAACTTGCGTTTCCTCTACCAATGTGTCTTTCTGTTGTTTTCTTTCTGCCAAATCCCTAATCTCTTCTCACAGTTGAGTAGCCTTTCATCCTCAGTTCATGCTCAGAGACTTTCCCAAGTGTCATGGACAAAACCATCCCCGGGGATGACTGATATTAGTGAGGACTGGGAGATGCTTAAGCTTCTCTAGGGTGCTTCTCATCCACCCTTCCATATAATCCTGGAAGGAGATAATACATGCAAGTTGGTATGTATGCAATTAATTACTTCACAGTTAAACCAGGGAGGCCACTTTTTCAAGACTGTAGAATTCGCAAATGGGCAGAGACAAGGTCTGAGCAAGTTATACCTTCCATTCCCTGGTCTATAACGGAACACTGCGTTTCATATGACAGTCTATAGTAGATGTCTTTTATGATCATTATGCTTGCTTTTTCACAGGCTTTATTTCTCTAAGAAGGTATTTGACTTCGATTGTTTCAGTATGAAAAGCTTCCTGCAAGAGTTATGCAAGGAGGATTCCTGACTTGGGCTTTCTGACCTTTGGGAATGACAAATATTGGGTTGCCTGGAAACCAGGACAGTCTTTTTCAGGGAGAGTGGGAGGGAGCCTGAACAACAGAAGGCTTGGCTGATGGCCAAGAGAGTAAAGTGGCTGCCCTGAAAGCTCAAAGACCAGGCTTGGATCTCCAGAACCCATTTCAGAACAAACAAACAGAAGACAGACAAACAGACTAATTCAATAGCTAACAACTGTGAGCGTGTCAATACCAGCGCACAGGAGACTGAGACAGAGTCTCTAGAATAGGCTGGCTGCCCTGACTAGCCAGAAGAGAGAGCTCTGGGTTCAGTGAGAGACCCTACTTCAATATAGAAGATGGAGAGTCCCTGAGGCAGATGCTTGATGTCAACCTCAGGTCTTCACAGGCAAGTGCATGTAAACACACACATGGGAACATGCATACATAAATGCACGCATGTGTGCATGCACAGAAATGCACACACACGTGCACACACACACACACACACACACACACAAGCTTCTTCTATTCATCAGCTTATGGAGGGACAGCATGTTAGAAATGACTTATTCCAATATCCTATTCTATAGCTGAGAAAGCAGGCCCCAAAGGACCCGCAGAATCACCAGTATCACAGAACCCAATGCTCTTGATAAGAGAAGAACAGGAGTTGGAGACAGTTGTAGATTCCTTCTAGATTCTCGCTTGTGGGTGAGGCTGAATTGCACAGAAACCCGAATATCTGGAAGCACAATTGGTAACTGTCAGAACACCAGAGCAGAAGAATTGCTCGCTTCCACCTGTAAGTGGCACAATGCAGGCTGCCCAGGGCAGATTTGTTCTAAATGCTCACTGACATGCCAGTGTTGCTCCTGTGGGTTTGGAGACCCAAAGGTGCTGTAAATTTTTTGTAGTTTTAGGTGCTTAGATATTATGAAAAGTGAAAGTTTTGATTATCTAAGAATATCAAGGAAAACCATTTTGGTCATAGCAGGGTTTCAAAATAAACATTATTGTGTGGTGGGGTTATTTCATAATTATGACTGACTATCAGTTGGAGCTTCAGAAAGAAGAGAAAATTGGAATTAATTTAACCACTTAAAAACTCAGACCCTACCATCTAAGCAATCTGTAGTGCCTGATGTCTAGATGATACAAAACTGCTTCGTGATCACAAGCTCCTTGAGCCTTGGAGTTGGGACTCTTGGGTCCTGCCTCTTGCATTTGATTGTGGTGTACCTTGGGGAACTGTTCGACTTCTGTCTTGTCTGTGAAGTGGAACTCACATAGTACTTATCCCCACAGAACTGTGTGAGATTTACATGAAATAATCAAGCAAAGAGCTTACATCTTAGCAAGCATCACTGGGCATAGAGTGTAAGACTCAGCAAACATCAGCAGACATTTGAGCTGCATCAGATCTTTTACTTGGTTATGACCAAAGAGTGGCTCGCTCACTTGCTCTTCTGTCTCTAATCTCTACCAGACAAATTTCCAGTATGGGGGTGGAATTTCTACCAGATGGTCCATGGTATGGTGACATCGAGGCAAGGACATTCCTTGGGCTTTCATCTGACTTAGGGCTGAGCAGGAAGGGAAGGTGACAACACTACGTGGCTGGTGGATCAGTCACTGTGGATGAGAAGTCTGCTAACTGGGACCACAGCAGTTTTGATGACCTTAGTGAGTTGGTTGAATTCTGTGCCAAGTCCTCTTCCCCAGCTGTGTGAGCCTGAAGGGCCGCTCGAGTCGGCACCTTATGAGCTTGACTGTGCACAGATGAATGCGTACCTGGCCATAGGAAAGAGTGGGATGCCTCACTTCTTGAAGGGCTCTTATCCAGGTTAAGGAAATGTAGGGATGGGGGTGAAGATGGGGAAAGGGAATTGGCAGGGCACAGTTCTGAGCTGTAATCCTACCCATCCATTCAGTGAGAGAGGTGTTCTTCTCCCCCACACCTTTAGGTTTTTTGAGACAGATTTTTTTCTTTCTTTTCTTTTCTTTTCTTTTCTTTTCTTTTCTTTTCTTTTCTTTTCCTTTCCTTTCCTTTCCTTTCCTTTCCTTTCCTTTTCTTTTCTCTTCCTTCCTTCCTTCCTTCCTTCCTTCCTTCCTTCCTTCCTTCCTTCCTTCTTTCCTTCCTTCCTTCCTTCCTTCTTTTTTTTTTTTTTGCCCCGGTTGTCTTGGAACTAGCTCTGTAAACTAAGCTGGCCTCAAACTCATAGAGATCCACCTGCCTCTGCCTCCAGAGTACTGGAATTATAGGCACGCACCACCATGCCTGGCTAGAGAAAGGTGTTCTTGCAGAATTTGATTTTTGCACTAGGTATTGAAATGGTGTCACACACCCAGGGGCTCATCTCAGACTGACTGAGCCAGTCAAAAATCTTACTCACTGTTCACATCAGCACCCAGTTATGTGAAATGTATAATCTCCATCTAACATTGTTTTCAAACTGACTTCATGATACAAAGTTAGAAGAACACGGACGTCACTTTTCCTCCCTTACAATAGGTGCTGAGTGTTAAGTATAGAATAGGGCAAGAAGCAGGTACAGGAAGCTAGTAGTTGTTTTGCCCTGAAAATTATGCCAAGAAATGCTAGAAATGTACCACTCTCATTATTATTAATGTCACCTCCATTTTTTTCAGTTGCTGCTTGCCCTGCTGCAGCCCTGTTTGTCTTGGGCAGTTCCTTCTGCCCACATGTGGACACACAGAGCTCGGTCCTTAATGTACAGTCGATAATTCAATGTGAATGTAGGTTTATGATGTTTTTTTCAAAACGGTTCTGTCGTGGCTTCCTGGATCCACTCATCCGCTCCCCAGGGGTTTCCCTCGTCATCAGTCAATCTCCTGCCTTGTAAAAAAGTTTCTCTGCTTCAGGCTCTACCCTGGACTGGTGCAATGCAGGAAATTCCCTCCCACAGAAGCAAAAATCTTCAGCCTGGCTTCCTCTTTTGCTCTTATTACCCCAAACCATCTGTATAATAGGTGTACAGATGAAGATACTCAATATGAAAATTCACTTGTGGGGCATTCCGCTTGTAGATGAATATCGAGCGGAAAGAAGAAAAATGGCTGTTCGTTTCAGTCAGTGGAATAATGTTGGAGCAAACCTACTTCCTGGGTCCAAATGGTGTGAAGAACGATGCTGTAGGATGTGCTGAGCCATCAGGACGTCCTGGCCATTCATCATCCCAAGCTCACACAGGCAAACGCGGTTATCATCGCAATGAGATGCAAGCACCTGTGGTTCCTCCCCTGGCTAGCTTTTAGCTTCTGAGAACTTAAGTATAAAGTCAGATCACCAAGTTGGGGATTTTTTTTTCTCTTAAATTATTCGTTGAACTTAGTCATGCATTTAAAGACAAAAACAAATCTAGAATACATAGTACCTAATATTCTGGAAGTATCAAATTCAGAAAGGTCAAGCTAAGGGTCACTGGAAGCAGACCTCTGAGCAGCTGAGGAGATGAGAGGCTGCTGGGCTGAGAGCCAGATGCTGGAAGGTAAACCATGCCACAGCAACTGGTTTGCTCTGAGTGGGGGTGGCGACACAGCACTGCTTTCCATTTTCCTGGTTCTGACTCCCTGCTTACTAGTTCTGGTCCTAGGTCCGTTACTTCAGGCATGAGAACTTCTCTGTACTAGATGTGACTCCCTGGGGAATGGACTGAGGTGACTATTTAAGATCAAAGATCCCAGAGTCCCATAACCTTGGAAAGGACTTATGAAATTGCACAGGGTGTTCAAGTAGTTACATGAATGTGGTACTCCTAGGTTAGATCTAGGAGTATCATCAAGCACAATAGGATGCTTCTAGTTATCTGGCCCTGTGGAAGTAGGCACTGGCTGTCTCTGGTCTTACTTGAAAATGTGTATGTCTAAGGCAGAAGGAAATAGCAAAAGTTTTCAAGTCAAGTCCTGAGAACAAATTTTTTTGCTGTCTCCACACCCTTCATGATCCCATTTCTGACTCTGAAGAAGACAGCTTCTCTTGCTTCGAGAGATTAATACTCTAGGTCTGAGTTTCAATAAGAGATTGAGGATGATTATGGATGTAAATCAGCATCCAATTAGCTGGCTATTGACCTTGGACTACCCTGGCTTCAGAAGTTTGAGTAATAAAGGTCTGTTGTATAACTTCCCAATCACTAAATGTCTATGGTAGCATCCTCAGCTGATGAACATAGACGTCCCAGTGCCTGTCCCTGGGCCCATCTGTCATATACTTAGGCATTAGTTGTATGTGCTTCAGCATACTTTGAGCCAAGGTGTAGGGAGAATGTCTTTCTTATGAGGACTGGCTTCATGCCTCCTTTCCTTGATTTATCCAACTACCAGACATTAACAAAACATTTCTAGACTTTGTGAGTTTTGACCTCTATGTCTCCTGTATGATAGATACTATGTAGATTCAATTTTTTTTGGGACACAGCATCCCTATGCGTGCTGTATTAGATTCCAAACACTATGATGAAATGCCTGACATAAGCTACTCATCAAGTTCAAACCTGCATGTAGCTCAGAAGGGTCAAGTCCTACGCTGTGTAGCTCCAAGACTTTGAGTCTCAAATGAAAGTGACATGTCCATGGTGGGAACATACATCATAACAGTACTCTATTTATCTATCTGTCTGTCTGTCTATCTATCTATCTATCTATCTATCTATCTATCTATCTATCTATCAATCATCTGTCTATCTATCTATCTATCTATCTATGTACCTACGTATGTATGTATGTATGTATGTATGTATGTATGTATGTATCTATCTATCTATCTATCTATCTATCTATCTATCTATCTATCTATCTATCCCCCTTCCACCTCTAAGACTTTTTCATGTGGAACATTAGGAGTCACTTATACAAATCAAATCACATGTGTTTGCCTTCATCAAGGTAGAATTCCCAGGACAGTCAAAGTGCAGATATAGCAGGACTTTCTGGCACCCCAGAAAAAGCTTGTGTTACTAAGAAGGAAAAATTGAATACAGCAGGTGGCTGTTCAGCAAAGAGAACGTGTTTCACTTTGCCTGAGCAATTCCTGCATCTAATTAGAATGGGAAGGTGTGAGAATGGGTAGGGAGACTCTCATTTTGGATGGAAGCAGGGCTATTGCTATTGACCTCTTCCTCTAGCTGGCGTTGATTTCTAATTTAATTCTTTTTTTCCTTGCAGCTTTCTTATTAGCACAGGGAGGTTGTTATGGTTTGTGTTTGCATTTTTTAAAAAAGCACTCAAATAATTTTCTCTATTGTATATTGTCTTCACAATAAGGTTACTCTGAGATGATGGGATGCAGAAATTGTAAGCCCTGTAGCTGAGAAGAAATGTGGGGAGCATTTTATGAGCTATAAAGGTGCTTCAGTAAGGCTGAGTGAGGCCTGGTGCTTGTTCTACAACTTACAGAGAGGGATGACTTCTACCAAGGGCATTGGGAAAATTCCCGGCATAAAGGGTCATAAGGCAGTCTCCAGTCTACCTCCTTTTCTATGCCTTAGAAGGTCATCCCAAAGAAACGTGCTAGATTGATTGATGTTGACAGGGACTTATTTGTGGTAGAAATGAAAGTAATAAACCTCAAAGATTGGGATCTATTCTGGATGTCACACTTTAAGAGGAACACTGACAAATTGGAGTGTAAAAAGAGGGAGGGAGGGAGCTAGCATCACATTAGAGGTGGGAAAGATACAATAAGGACAGGTATTTGGTCCCTGTAGGGAAGACTCAAGGAATGAGAGAAAGCTCTCTGTAAACATCTTCAAGGCACCAGATGAAGAAAAAATTAGCTTTATGTTGTGCCAGTCAAGGAATTAGGATCGCTGGTAAGATGGCAACATAGAAAGGGCGTGTTGTATCTGCAGTTCCAGTTACCTGATCACGGCATGAACTGCTGTGTGAGCATCGACCTCTTAATAGAGGAGGCAGAGACAACTGCTGGGTGCAGCCTGGTGGTGCTGGGCACAGAAGAGGCAGAATCCTATTCCCATTACCGCATAGGCTGAACTAGTCTTTGTCTCAAAGACGGAACCAAGTCTAGAACTCTTCAGGCTCAACTAAAAGATCAACAGTGGAGGCCAACAGTTCTAGGCAGTGACTGTTGGCAAAATCTGGAGGATGGAGTTGAAAGGACAAGAGCTATGGAAAGGGACGTCTTTTGTCATCATATCTGACACACTGAAGATATTCAATGAATCTTGATTGATTCCTGAAGAGGAACTGTGGTGAGATAATCCGAACTTATTCTGGGGTGAGCCACTTTAGATCAGAATTTTGACTCTATTCTCATATTTTTTTATATATCACGGGAGAAAATTAGTCTATTGCTAAAGTTCCATATTCCTGCATCGACCTCAGCAAGGAGGTATAAAGGATTTAATGGAAGTGTATAATCCTACTTCCACCATACCCCACAGAAATAGTCCATAAGAAGGAGTAACTTGTCAGATATTTTCACTGGGATTAAATATAAGAGATAGAGTGATTAGATAAATAGATAGATAGATAGATAGATAGATAGATAGATAGATAGATAGATAGATA